CAGGGGACTGAAAACCTCAACCAGTCGACCACCAACCCGGACAGTTTGAAAAAGATTGATGAAGCCGTGTCGCAGCTGGCGGGAAACCAACGATCCCTGGAAAACCAACTAACATGCCTTCAAAGGATCTCAGCATCGCATCGTCAGGCTGAAGCCAGCTTGAACAAGGCGAAGGAACTGATCGACGAGGTTCGGTCCGCATCAGCAGCTGGCACCCCTCGACGGAGAAAAACAAAAGTTACCAGGGTTTGTCTGGGCAATCGTTTTTTAAATTAAATTAAGTGTTTCGTTAGAAAATTTGTTGGTATATCCTCAATTCCTCCCCGCCCCCCTCCAAACCCCACACCATCGTGTTACATTCCTATATCCACTATGCGTATTTGGTACTGGCTTTTAATCCGAAATGCAGAATCGGCTGGTGGCTGACGCTGATCGAAATTAATAATATGCACGGAGGCACGCAAAGGATAGTCTATAGATCAACAATTCAGCGGGCGGTGGCAATCGGATGGGTAGCCCCATTGAGAAGTCGAGAGACGAATTCCTACGATAAGCGAGTGGTTATTTACTTCTATAAAAAAACTACTTATGTCATTTAGGTAGGCTTAATTACAACAGCGCAAAGACCACGAGATTAGCAGGATTTATTGACGTCATATAATTTCGCGACCGGCTTTATTAAACCATTTCCATTTTGCTCATTACTCCTTACGCCTCCCTCAAAGGCTATCATTCGGGCGAATTCTTGGCATAGGATTAGGGTTAAAAGTAGTTTTCAAATTAGGCCTACAAATAGTAGGGCTTATGAAGAAAAGAAGAAGTTCTTCGAGAAAATCAAGATATAATTGTGAATTTTCGAGCATGTGACACGTGCTCTTCATCAGATGAAATAAAGGGGAATGGAGGAGAAGGATTACAGTAGACAGTTTAAGCGACCAGGACAGTTAGACAGTTAGGGCTTATGTTTAGCCTTGATTTGGGGTAAATAAAAGTGGCTGGCCATGGTTTTCGGCAAAGAGAAGTAAAAAATACGCATGTAAGTCTTTAACTTGTTTAAATACATCAAGTATTCATGAAAAAGTGAGCACGGAAAAGTAAATGCGAAAAACTAAGATCTGTGTACGGGTAGAAATGGAGAAACCTAAGGTGCCGGTAATGTATTCCAGACGAAATGACCCCACACTTGATGACCGATCACATTGAAAGAGAAAGCCCGAAGAATATATCGTGAATTCCGACTCTCCTGATAGCCGCGACTTAAAATATGATTGAAGATGAGAACGTTCATAACCAAACCCCTGGCCGTAAACGTATGTCTAAAGGCTAGCCATAGTTCTAACACTATCTGTAAGAATACTTTGAAAGCTAGCTTTTTGGTCTAACACTAAGTCAGACGCTAACCCTAATGGTAACATTGGAGGGGGGCTCGAGTAGAAGTGAACAAAAGGAAAGATTAAATTTTGTATTTATTTAAATTAATCAAGCCTACCCAAAGGACATAAGTAAGTATTTTATAGAAATCTTTTCGAAAGATATTTGCCCGTATCTCGCTAGAGCCCGCAAACAAGGCCCGCCCCCCAGTTTGAGGCGTCAACAATTTAAAGTACAGACACGAATCTCAATTTTGCCTTCCTTGAAGGACAGCTATCGAGCCAAGAGTACTTTCAATTTTGATAATATCCTCTTTTCAACCCCCCCCCATAGTCTTCAAGTGGTCTGGTGAAGGATGCTGATGGGGCTGTGGAAGAAATGAATTCCACCATTGATGACTTGAAAAAGCAGTCAGCAGATTCACAGTCATCCGCACTCATTGAGGACTTGGACTTCCGGGATCTGTTGAAATCGGCAGCGAAACTCAGCGAGGACTGGAAGGTAAGGAAACATGATAATTTATGACTACAGTTAACCTTAACTTGTATGAAAGGGCCGTGCTGAAATACTACGAAACCTGGCGATCGTTACTCGTTGCTTACTGCAAATGATTTCTGACAGATTAGGGTGATCTGCTTCTGTCCATAGGGCGGAAAACCTCTGAGTAGAGTGGTGGTCACCAACGGGCGATTAAACAAAGGATGAGGGAAGTGCATCAATAAAGGCACAGGCAGAAATCGTTTCATGCTTCAATGCACTCTCCTGCAAACCATAGTTCTACGTAATGATTCTCACCGAAAACACGCGCACAGCATCTATAGCTGACCTACTTAAGCGGGAAGGGGGGCTGACTTAATTTTGGCGAAGAAATATCAAAACTCATTGGGGAGCAAAAAGAAAGTCCGCAACAAAAGTCTAATATTGTTATGCCTAATACTAATCACAAAATCTTTCTATACTGGGTAACCCGTCTTAACTTTGTTCGATATCAGGCTACCTCCGATTTCACTAAAATTAATGCCTCTTACCCTTAAATGTACTGAAGTAAACAGGCAGTCTTCCTTCCTAAAAGGCTTTCTCGGGATCAAATCCTCTAATTTGATCGAAATAACATATCTAAATGCATGTTAAACTACCAAGTGTAAATTCAATCTTGATTTTACCTGAATCACCTCACCTACTCTAAGCAAAACTACTGATAAGTAAATGGACAAGCAAGTTAAGGCCCTTGCTCCGTTCCCATTTGCGTCCACCTGTCAATTAAGGATCGTGCTAACCAAGTCTTTACTTTTTCTACCATTTACCTCTGTTTTAATCCTGCATGAAGGAGTACAAGGCACGGGCTGGCAAGGACGAACAACAACAGACCGAGTTTTGGGAGCTCTGTGAACGCACCGGAGCCATGATGGACGAGCTGGGTAAACATTTCGACGCATTGGAGACGGAAATTGGGTCCACTAATCGAAAAGTCGCTGATGAAGGCATG